AAGACACGGAGGCAAGGCATCTTTTAAGACCTTTGGAAAATAGATAATTTAAACAGTTTGAAAACCAAAATCAGAGAATTAGGACTATCGAACAAGTTTGACAAGAAAACATTCCTGGAGATTTGGCCAGCGACACTTTTCGGCGATAACGATCCGACAGTTTGGTTTGCTCTTCATGGTTGCAGACATAAATCCTTGGGATGCCAACAGTCCCAGCCTCATCTTTAACTAACTGAGGACGATTTTACGAGACAAAATCAAATCTCTGATTATAATCCTCTGGTAGGAAGTGTGTAGAAAATATGACGGAGGTAGCCGAGGGGTTGAAATTTGCTTGCTTTCTCTTCACAAAATCAATCCATCTTTGCTTCTGGACGATTGTCGTTATGAAATGGGATCTTATGCAAGTATATACCTTTCGTAAAATCTGGGGTGTTTACACCCAGCAACAACACATCTAGTCGGCATTTTCTCATATTCTGACCGAAGAACTAGTAAGAATCTTTGCTTATCAAAACATTCGTTCTTGTTGTGACGTCACCACTCAGCGAGACTCTGCTCGGCCCAGTTCCTCTTTATCCCGTCCAAATTGATGGGGCGTGGCAAAACTGCGTACTTTAGGGCGCTATATCTCCGAGAATATTTAGTCAATCGAAAAAATTCTTTTTGTTTATTCATCTCCAACACACAGAAAATCAAAATTGATCATAATCCTATAAAGGTTATAGGCACTTTAAACACGGTAAAAAAACATCAGCTTAATATTAATTCACCATTTTCAATACATGGGTTAATTGGTCAAACACAAAGCATTCAGTCAAGTTTGCAAGGTTTAATTTTGAATAATCCTTTGAAAGTACCTTGGCGCCTCGCTTGAGCGCTTTGTGTTCGACTAGTACGAGGAGGAAAGGAGGTGAGAAAGAAAGAAAGAAAGAAAGAAAGAGAGAGAGAAAGAAAGAAAGAAAGGAAGAAAGGAAGAAAGAAAGAAAGAAAGGAGGAAAGGAGGAAAGGAAGATAAAAAGGGAGGAAAGGAGGAAAGGAGGAAAGGAGGAAAGGAAGATAAAAAGGAAGGAAGGAGGGAAGAAGGAAGGAATAACTTACGTCACTTTTGTCTCTATGCTTGTCTCAACACTTCTTTGAAGACTGACTGTAACCAAACCAGACGTTTCAGATTCCCTTGACGACGTTGACGTGAATCCTACCGTTGGTTTTAAAGCAGTAGCTTTAGGAAAGAAATTTAAAAACAAATCAGTTAAAATATGTCGTGTCACCTTCAAAAACAAAAATATATAATTGAATTATTTCCATACACCAGTTCAATGGAGAAACACAAATAAAGTGCTCAACTAGGCTACAAGGTCGTTTCAAATGATCATTTATTCTGTACCTTGCAGGCTCAATTACAGTACTGTAAACACTTTTTTTCTCCTGTTTTTGTTCGTTTTTTCCCTGAACTGTCACTTTCCAACCCTCTAAAATCATGATGAAGCATTGAGTTCAAATACACCGAGTGACGGTCAAAATAAATCTCATTTCCAAATCGATTGGCTCAAGAGATGATTTATAGTATGAATTTGAAAGRAAAAAAATGACAAGAAAGTGTTCAAGTTTAGCTCGAAGTTTATTAGATAATCTATACTATTAAATCCATCAAAGTCATTGAATGACTATGCTTCTTGAACTATTGGTGAAAAATGTAGGTATGTGCGCCTCTAAGAACGTCCAAAAATTGCACAAGTCAACTATTCCCATCAAATATTTCAAAATCTATCCAATAATCTCTTCTTCATATTTTGATATATAATGACGAGCATTGCATTTATCAAACATCTGAAATAAAAATTAGGGTTCACCATTCTCGTTTTTGATTTATCTTGAAAAACATCTCAAAATAGTCGAAAACTGACGCTTTTCTGAGTGGAGACTGTGGCGAGTCAGATAAAAATTGCAATTTCTCTACTCAAAAAAGAGAAAAAAGTGAAAATTGGTTTTGAACATGTTTCTCATTTAGTTTCCAAAAGAAAAAATGGCTAAACTTTGTTAGTTCCATGCTTTCAGTTGCATGCGCAGAAAATGCGCAGTGCAAAACAAGGGAATTACCTTAAAGGCTYGATTACGCGGAGCAATTTTCTCTGCAACGTGTGTGTGTCGTAATACGGCGTTGCGATAAACATTACATGGAGCATGGAGAACGTGTAACCTACAGCACAATTTGAAAAATGTTGTGAAACAAGTTGCAGCAATCGTTGCGAAAAGTGGAATAGAATTCGTTTCTACTTTTGGTAACTATTACGTCTCCATCACACCGTATAGACACTCTTGCAACTTGTGTCGCAACGGCGATGCGACAAAAGTTGCAGAGAAAATTGCTCCGTGTAATCGTGCCTTAAAGCAGAAAGCGGAGAAGGTACACCGTACGCTAGTGTAAAGGGCCCAAAAGTCAGTATTACTGCAAGCCATGTCATTAGTAATTTTCGATTTTAAAGCAAATATATGAAAAACAACAATAATCCAGCTGATCTGAAATAGTGACGTAGAAATGACGTCACTGAAAAACTAAGGTGCCATGAAGCACATGGAAATTGACCAGCGAAAAATAAAAACCTACCACCATTGGAATAAATAGAGGATATTACATGGGCGCGAGAAGATACGAAATTTATCTTCGAGTGTTGAAAAGATCTCTCACGAGTGAGCGCAGCGAACTAAATGTGTGCAATAGTTATCACTATTTAGTAGTAAATAGCACTAATTAAACAAAACAACATAAAACAAAACAATATAATTAGCATAAAATAACACTATTTAGTGATATTTATGTTGCACACTTTTAGTGTTTGTACTCTAACTAACTAACAGCTTAAACACACATGGTAACGATATTTTCACA